CAAGGCTCCCAAGAACGAGCGGTGACGCAACAAGCTCTTACCACCAAGGCTCCCAAGAGCGAAGGGTGCCATGAGCCATCTCGGGCAGGTTGCTGAAACGCTCTTTCCGTTCCCGTGCCGGCCAATGTCTAGTGGCTTTCGGTCCATCCCGCCGCCGTCCCCGGGTTGTGGGTCAGTGGTCTCTTGGATACTTGTTGTGGTCTCTTGGAAAGCCTCTGGGGAGTCTCTTGGAGGTAGTCGTGAAGCCTCGTGGTGCCTAATGGGGGCCGTTTGGAGGCCCTCTTGGGGCCTCTTCTGGGCCGGTCTTGGGGGCCTCTTGGGCCTCTAGAGAGTTTCTTGGGGACTTGCTGGCGGTCTCGGTGGGCCCCTGGGCTCGAAACCTCAGCTCGTTTTCCTCATCTTGGGCCCATCTTGGGGCCCTCTTGGCCGGTCTTGGGCGCCTCTTGTGTCGTCTTGCGTGATCTTTGCGGCTTCCTGGGCCTTCTGGGACGCTGTGGAAGTTTCAGAGGCGAACGTGTTGAACATATACGTTTTCATTTGGGAATGGGACGATGTTTGCCTTTTAGGGTGCTCTCGAGGTGCTCTTGAGTCTTCTTTGTGGGCCCCTTGGGCCGTCTTGGGGTCACGATTGGCCGTCTTGAAGCTGTTTTGGACCGCTCTGGGGCCCTCTTTGGCCATCTGAAGCGGTTCTCGAGACGCTCTCGACACTTGGGGAGGTCGTCTTATGCCGACAGAGGAGCTCCCTGGAGCCCCCAGGCGCTTCCAAGAGCTCCTGGGAAAACCCGGGAGCGGCTGGGAAACTGGGGTTCTGGGCCCTTAGAACCTTACAACCCCTCTACCTCTCACGGCTGCAGGGCTGCATGAGCTTCGGGGCACTTCACTATGTGCAGAAGGCTCGCTGGCGGACTTTGCACTGTGTGCACTGCAGCGTCGTCGCCTTGCACGCGCCCGCCCGCGAAGGCGGCCATGCGCGGCCATCAGAGGCTTCTTATCCCTTCGGTCTGGGTAAGTCACCACCCACCAAGGCACCCCAACCCAACCCGAAGGCCTCAATTTGCTCTCCATTTCCAGTTGCGGGGGGTCGGGGAACATCGAAAAAACACGTATGGAACCCGTACCCCCCCCAACCCGAAATTCGGGTCTTCGGGTTGGGTTGGGGTGGTCTGGTAGGTAGTCAGTAAGGGGCTGCGGCTCGCAGGCTGGAGGGATTTCCGCGAGAGCAGTCTCCTCCCTCCCCCGATGGCGGCCAGGCGTGGCGATCGGAGGCTTGCTTGCCCTTCGGTCAGGGTCGGGAGCTGCGGTTCGCAGGCCCGACGGGTTTTCGCGAGAGTGGTCTCCTCTCCTCTCTCCTCTCCTCTCTCCTCTCCAGTCCTCTCCTCTCCTCTCCTCTCCTCTCCTCTCCTCTCCTCTCTCCTCTCCTTTCCTCTCCTCCTCTCCTCTCCTCTCCTCTCCTCTCTCCTCTCCTCTCTCTCCTCTCTCTCCTCTCCTCTCCTCTCTCCTCTCCTCTCTCCTCTCCTCTCCTCTCCTCTCCTCTCCTCTCCTCTCCTCTCCTCTCCTCTCCTCTCCTCTCCTCTCCTCTCGTTTCCATTCCTTCTCCCTATACGTTTCTTTTCCCTGTCGCACCCCGAGGCCAGTTTTTAGGGCGGGCTGGGCGTCTCGCCTTCGACACCCTCACCATTTATAACCCTGAAACTTACACATTGGCAACAGCTTCACAGACGGAGGGCGGGTCGTTTTCAGATGTGGCTCTCGCTTTAGCGCCGCGCACATTCGTTTTAAAACTTTGCAAGAGCTTCAAGGATTGAGGCTGGCCCGTTTCCAAAATGTGGCTTCCGCTTGAGCGCCGCGCGCATTCGTTTGAAATTGTTGCAAGAGTTTCACGGATTGATGGCGGGCCGTTTTCAAAATGTGGCTCTCGCCCCAGCGCCGCGTGCATTCTTTAAACAACTTTGCAAGAGTTTCACGAATTGAGGGCGGTTCCTTTTCAACATGTGGCTCTCGCCTTAGCGCCGCACACACACACATTCGTTCTAAAACTTTGCAAGAGTTTCACGGGTTCCCATGGTCAGCGTACCAGACGTGGTGTTTTGGAAAGATTCAGGATTGAGGGTGCAACAGTTGCATTGGTTCGCGGTGTTGACGTCCCAGGAATGGCGTTCTGGCACGATTCAGCATCGTCAAAAAACAACAGTCAGGTTGATCCGTGGCGCTGGAATCCCGAGAACAATGTTTTGGCATGCTTCAGGGTCTTCAAACGGTTGTCTTCCAACGAGGCAGTTAGTTTCCCCAGTGGAAACAAGCCGTCGTATGGGGCCTATGCAGAGGGAGCTTGGAGGGAGGGTTTATTCCAACATCGTTGATGCCTCGTGGGTCTACACTGGACCTTCTCCCTCCTCCTCGCGCAGGCTCCGTCCCACGGTGTCCGTGGCAGTGCGAGTGGCTTCGCCCTGCGCGCTGCTGTGTGGTCCCAGGGCTGGCGGGTCTGCACAGAGCGGGCAGCCCAATGGCACCGCGCCGCCGCCCCGGCCAAGAAAACCATTGCGAGGGGATACCCGGGGGTGCGGGGCGCCCGCGCACGGGCCACGTGTGGCCGCCGAGGGCAATAACTGCACCCCCCCCCCTCTGTGGCCGGGGCCGCGGGCCTGCACGGAGCGGACAACATAGGCTGGGCCCCCCGGCAGCCTCCGCCAAGTGTTAGGGGGCCACATGCGAACCCTACCCCTACCCCCCCCTCAGAAATCGTGGGGGGTAGGGGCAGGGTTCGCGTGTGGCCCCCTATGCACCCCCCCATTGTGGCAGGGGCCGTGGGCCTGCACAGAGCGGACAACACATGTGCGGAGGCCCCCCCGGCAGCCTCTGCGCCAGGAGTCCCGTGCGGAATGCTCCCGGGGCGCGCCCGCGCGCGGCCCGGACCCTGGCGCACAAGGCGCGCTGCTCCGTGTTGTTCTGGCAGTGCCGGCGGGCCCGCCCCGGCCGGGCGAGACGAGGACCCTCCCGCCCTGGCCAGAAACCAGCGCAGAGGGCTCGCGGGGCGCCGGCACTCACGGTCCAGACCATGCCGCAAGGTGCACTTTGCACGGGTTTGGGGCAAGGGTGACGGGGGAGGGGGTCGGCCAGGTGGGGGGGAGAGGGGGGGGGTCGGGGCTCAGGCGATGGGGGTCCATGCAAGCGGGGGTCAGCCGGAGGACCGGGTCTTGTCGGATCCTGCAGAGCCAGGGGTGCGTTGACCCGAGCTCGCGTGCAGGATTTTGCAGGATCCTGCAGCATCTTGCAGGATCCTGCAAAGCCTGACTGACCCGCGTTTGCAACTCCCTGGGTCAGTGGATCTAGAAAGGAGCAGTGGTGACCTCTCCCCGGAGGGGAAGAGAAGAGGTTGGAAGAGGAAGTTCCCTAAACCACCCTCGCCAAGAGGGCTGGGGGGATTCGGGCCTCCCGGGGCTATTTTCGGGCCTCCCGGCTAACATCAGAAGTGCCCGCGACAGAAAAACAGTCGCGGGGATGTGGTCGAGTCGAGATTTCCAGGGGCACAGAGGGAGGAAGGGCAGGCAGAGTGTGATGTTATCCTTTGGGCTGTTGCCTTTTGGGGGTGTTCTTCGGCGCCGCTGGATTCGCCTCGCGATCTTGGCCCGAAGGCGCTCTGGGACATTTCTCGGAAGGGGGGCGCAGACCTTTCCCAACGTCGTGGCCTTCTTGCTTGCAGGGTCCTTACGCACAGGAGCAGGGTCGCCCGATGGGGGGTGGGTATCCCTGGCCACCCCCGGGGGATTGATCTCTGGGGACCTCGGGAGGCGCTGGATAGGACCAACGATGCGTACGAATCCATGTGCACCGCCTGCCCAGGGTTCCGAAGATCGATCCCCCAGGCGGGGGTTGTGGATAAATTCCGGCCTCGCAGGTCGGGGAACGCTTGCAGTCCCCGTGCCCTGCAAGACAACACCCGTGGCGACAAGCCATCTCCCTGGTGTGGGGTTCGAGGGTTCGGGGGCCCGCGTCGTGAATGATCGGCGGCGTTGGAGGTTATCCTCTTTGTCCCTTCCGCCACCGTGTTTGTGGTACTTCACCTCGTCCTCTGCTTCGCTCTTACTGCTGTCTGCTCATTCCGTTCGGTTGCCAGAACGCCTTGCAATCATAAGCCGCCGCGTATCGCACACAGCATCGAGGACCACACGCGCGATTGCCGTTCTACCCTCAGTTGTGGCCGTCGATCGCCGAAGAACACGCTGAGTGATCAGCCCTCGCTCGGAAAAGCGGCCGTCGAGCAGGTATAGTCTCTTTGGCCGCCCCCGTTCTCTTCGACCAGGCCTCTGGGACGCCGAGTGGCCGGGGCCCAGCGGCGTGAGATGGCAGAGGTGGCGATGCGGCGGCAGAGCTGGCAACGATAGAAAAACAAGACCAACACAAGCATGATTTCTCAAAGGCCCGAGCCGATTTCGTGGATGATGGGCCTGTTTTCAACCACCACCACCATAAGTTGGAGTGGGGAAGGAGGTGGAGGATGAGGAGAAGCAGGAGGAAGAAGAAGTCCTCGCCCTTTTCTTCTTCCTCCTGCTTCTCCTCATCCTCCACCTCCTTCCCCACTCCAACTTATGGTGGTGGTGGTGGAAAACAGGCCCATTATTAGATCGGCGCTGGGCCCCCCTGGCGGCGCCTCTGGCGACGCCCCTGGCGCGCTCCGCGCGCCAGAGAGGGGTGTCCAGCGCCGATTCCGGAATTCCGGGCGGACCTCCGAAAGTTTGTGCGTGTGTGGTTGTATAGTATTTCAATACATTTTGCAAGCTGGTGGAGGGGGGGTCCAGCGCAGATCCAAGGAGACCGCGCGGACCTCGGGGGAATTACGGCGAGCGAGGGTGCGAGGGCGGCGGACCTGCAGGCGCAGCGGATCAAGCTGTCGCAGCGAGATTGGGACCAGCTGCGCACAGACATCGTCTCGGCCCCGGCGCTGCGCGGCTCCGGCGGCGGCGCCGAAGACGGGTACGCCGCCCCGCACCCTTTGGCCTCCTCGGGCCGTGGGGCGGGGCTCGAGTGTACATGACTGGTGTGCTTGCGATGCTACTGGGTGTCAAGCTCCTGGCAACCACAAGGGTTAGCAAGACCACCACACATCATCATCATCATCATCATCATCATCATCATCATCATCATCATCATCATCATCATCATCATCATCATCATCATCATCATCATCATCATTATCATTATCATCATCATCATCATCGTCATCGTCATCGTCATCGTCATCGTCATCGTCATCATCATCATCATCATCATCAGCAGCAGCAGCATCATCAGCATCATCATCAACATCATCAGCAGCATCATCAGCATCATCATCAACATCATCATCAGCAGCATCAGCATCAGCATCATCATCATCAGCAGCATCATTACCATCATCGTCATCAGCATCATCAACGTCAGTACCATCATCATCATAATCATCATCATTATCAGTATAGCATCATCATCATCATCACCACTATCATTGTCATTATCATCATCATCACTACCATTATTAGTATCAGTGTCATCATCATCAGCATCATCATCAGTATCATCATCACCCTCATCACCAGCATCAGCCTTATCATCACCATCACCAATCATCAGCATCATCACAAACACCATCATACTCATCAGCGCATCATCATCATCATCATCGTCATCATCATCAGCATCATCAATCATCGCCATCATCGTCATCTTATCATATCGCTATTCTCTTTGACTGGAATGAGAGCGTTTGGAAGATTGCGAGCATGGGAAGCAACTGCGGCCCATCTTTGCTCAAAGTCTTTGAGACGTCGCACCTCATATGGTGCTCCCAGATTCTATTGGGCGACTTCATCAGGACTCACGCTTTGGAGATCGCACGCGGAGCAGTCGCGTGCCTTGTGGCCGGCTGGTTCACGGCCAGCAGTAAGCGGCGAGGTTTGCCCGTTCCCGCCGCCGTGCCCGCCGCCGCCAGTGTGCCCCAACCTGACCTGCTTTGAACTGTCTTGCCCGCAGGCGTTGTGCCCGCTCTGCCCAGGGCTCAGTTGTCCTGAGGGACTGCCTATGGCCTTGCTCGTTGCGTGCCTCGTGGTGAACGTTGCTGTGGCAGGCTGCGGCGGTTTCAGGGCGGGCGTCAGGCGCAACATCGGACATGTCGGTGGCGGCGTCGCGGCCAGGCAGTCTCCAGTCCGCGGCGGCCGTGTCCTTGAGAGGGCTGATGCCACGCAGTAGGGTCGTCGTTCGGAACGATGATGTGGGCGGGTGAGTAGATCACGGGGTCTCCCGACGGAGACCAGGTGGCGGCGGCAGTCGTGGGCGGGGGCATCGTGGAGTTCGTGGTGCTGGTGCCTGGTGGAGTGGTTCCTCGGCATATCAGCTCTCCGCGTTGCCGCTTCCGTGAGGAGATCGGTCCACGCTCCCTCCGCCTGAAGATGATGAAGGCTCGGCAGCTGGCACGGGGTGCGGCCCAGGCTGGTTCTCGCGTCGGAGATGCCCCACCATTCGCCCAGCTCTGGGACGGCCAACTGGTTGCGCTGGAGGACCTCTGGCGCGGCGGCGGTGCAGCTGGGCCGGTTCGACGGATGCCCAGCAAGGCGGCCCCCGCCTCAGCGGGCCTTCTGGTGCTAGCTGACGACGACGACGACGACGACGACACAGGTGACCTAGACGATACCGACACCCCGCAGCCGATGAGTGACGACAGTAAGGACGTGCCCTTCGCGCTGGTGGACGACGACCCTGCCTTCAGCTGGGTGGTTGGTGAGCCGCGCAAGGCGTGTCCCTTCGGCTCTGAATTCAACGCCGCTGCGATGGTGGCGGAGAGGAGCGCGTGCCGGTTAGGTGACCGCCTGCTGGTGAGTGTCTCTGAGACACCCGCGTCGGGCAAGCCAGCCGAGAGCGTGATGGCGCTGTGCTGCGTGCCCATCGCGCGCGCGAGTCATCGCTGGAAGGAGATCGCTGTTATGATGCCGGAACCCGTGGCGATGGTCAACGCTCACCCTCCTTCCCACCAGGCGCCCTCCCCTGCTGACAAGGCTGAGGAGGGCGCGAGGACCTTTGCCGCGCAGTGCGATGAGCAAGGGGAGCGATTCCGTTCGTGGAAGGAGGCCGCCGCCAGGATGCATGAGAGCTTCTACGAGGACTTGCCCGTGGAGGGCCCGAGGACTATGCTGTGGATGGCGAAACACATCGTGGGGACAGGTGGCTCATCGCTGCAGTGGTGCCACAAGTAGTGACCACTTGTTTATTCTTCGGCGATAGCGGCCGTTACCGGGGGGGCGAGGGGGCCCGTAACGTCACGATTCGCGCCGGTAGCGTCTGGGAGTGCTTAGGACAAGTGTTATGCTGTCAGGATTTTCATACAGATAGGAAAAGAAGTGGTATACAAGCGCGTTGCTGTCAATCATCATCGTCATCATTTTCATCATCATCATCATCGTCGTCGTCATCATGGTGATCAGCTGGTTAAGAAAATGCTGGGCCTGCCAGCTTCTCATGATGATGACGACGTTTGGATCAACATGTCACGAATGCCCAAGACATCATGATACGACGCCGCGCCACATGACAACATGACGCCTCGACACATGGTAAAAGACCAGAGGCTCCGCGTTCGATCTGTATTTGTAGGTTTGCCCAGCCTGTCTCTTTATTGCCGGTCACTCCAATGTATGGGCCGCTCATGGACACGAAGTCGGCCATGTCTCCGAAGCGGACTTTGGCATGACAACGCAAGGACGTCATGCAGACAGGTCCGTCTGGCTCCAGATTTCATCATAAAACGACTGGGGCCACAACCCTCCCAGACGGGCAATGTTGGACTCCCCCACCGGCAATGAAAGGGTGCCCTTTTGCCAAGGCCCCTGGGAATCCTCCAAGACAGCTCAAATCAGACCCAATCTCAATGTCTGTACCCCCTCTCACCTACCGATCTCGGTATGGGTTGGCTCTCTGATCCTTCTCCCTCGCACACAAAATGGGGCCCTCCCTTCACTATGAAGTCCAGAGTAAGAGTTGGCTTCCGGATAACCCCCTCTGCCTGAAGATACAATTTGAATAAGAGCATGTACATGCATGTGCATACATACGTATGAGCAGCAGAGGCGCGGCGACCGCCCGGCAGGTACAGCAGGTACCCCAGGGGCCTCATGACGATGCAGTTCATCATGAACGTATCCAGGGAGATCCCCATCAAGATCGAGGGCCTCAGCGACAAGGCCCCCCTCGGGCGACGAGAACCATGCACGCGCGCAGCGGTCCCAGCCAGGCCCAGCCCGGTCCCAGGATCGGTGGCGGACTCCTCCCTGGCCAAGGCAGGAGGGCGTATGCCCCACCCTGGGCTCATGATGAGCCTGGCTACGATCGGTGCACGAGCACACCACTCTTCCTTCCACTCCTGCTGCAAAGTTGGGGGAGAGCAGCGATCCAGAGATCGCATCTAGGTGCTGGGGCGCAAGGCCTCTTCTCCTGCATGCAGTCAGGTCCTTGGAGTATGGACCATTTTGATTTCGGCACGGTCTCGAGGTTCCTTGGGTCATTCCTCTGAGCTGTCTTCTGGTGCTTTTCGTGCATCTTGGCGCAAGCGAGGCCACGGAGGGTCTTTCTTCCTTGTGTAAGTTTCCTCATGGCGAGACTTCGACAGTAACTTTTTCAGTGCATGTCAGGGCCAGCTCCTGTATGCGGTGGAGTTTTTCATGTTTTGTTTGGCACGTGGGCGCCTCTTGGCCGTTTGGGGGTCATCTTGGACCGTCTTGGGGCCCTCTTCGAAGCCTCTTGGGCCGTCTTGGGGCGATTTTGAGGGCTTCTTGGGCCTTCCTGGAGCGTCGGGAGGCAGAAAAGGCGAGAACACCAAAATCTCCACCCCCAAAAAGGATATGACCAATCAACGATTCTTGCCTCTTGGGGCCCTCTCGGGAGGCCTCTCGGGAGGCCTCTTCGGGCGGCCTGGGGGCATCTGGGGCCGTCTTGAGGCCACCTGGGGTGTCTCAGGGCGATCTTTCGGCGCCTCGGGGCCCCCTTGGACCGTCTTGGGATCTTGGGGCCCCCCCGGGCCCTCTCGGGGCCCTCCGGGGCCCGAACAAGTGACGCGACACGACGCGCCGGGCCCCAGGGGCCATGCCACGAGGAGGAGGAGGAGGAGGAGGAGGAGGAGGAGGAGGAGGAGGAGGAGGAGGAGGAGGAGGGCGGGCCCCGTCAGGAGTCCCCGGGATGGCAGACTGAGGCTCGAGGGGGTCAGGCCAAGGGCCTGAGGACACTTTCCACTTCGTGCCACGGGGGCACGGTGGCGGATAATGACCGCGTTCGGAGGTAGTCGCGTCTCCTTTCAGAGCCCCATGGCCACCGCGTCATGACATGCAGCACCCTCCGACCTCCCAAAAGAGCAGTGGCGGGGTCATTGCATGGGCCCGTTCGTGTCGATATTGGTGAGGCCTCTCATGTGGCCACATGGCCCCCGCGATGTGGCAAGCATCACGCTTGGGCCTCCCAGGAAGGAGCCGGCAGGTGGTACTGCACGGGCCCGTTCGCGTCCAGAGGGGTGCTGTCTCTCAGGTCAACTTACTTGTCAGAGCCCCGTGGTCACCGCGACGCAGCAGGCATCACGTTTTGGCCTCTTGCATGGGCACTGTCGCAGGGTATTGCACGGGCCCGTTCGCGTCCAGATCAGTGGCCGTGTTGCCCTGCAAGACGGATCGTGCACACCCTTCGCGCAAGTCGCGCACCACAGGCAGCTCCACTTATGGCCCCAGCGGGTGCGTCTGCACGGCGTCCCCGCGCACAGCTCTGCGCACCCGTCGTGCGGATCGTGTGCCCACGGGGAGCTGCGCCCGTGGCCCCCAGCATGGTGCGCCCGCACGGCGTCCCCGCGCCCCTCTCGGCCCCCCGGCCGCACAGGAAGGAGCTTCGGCAATGGCCCCAGTGGGATGCTCACATGGTCGGTGGCGTCCCCCCAGCATACTTATACTATGTGTTCGTCGCCCCCCCAGGGGCGACGCGCGCACCGAGAAATCTTGTAGTATATGCGTCGTGGCGGGCGCTTTCTGGCCACACCGCTCGAGAAACGATATACTACAAGATGGGTATACTATATGTTCGGGTCGGACGCGCGCCTCCAAGGCGGACATGTAGTATTAGTGTGTCTCTGTGCGTCCCAGAGAAGATAAGCCGGGTCTCACTAAGGCCGGGCTGGGGCGCAAATCCCAGTGAAACAAATCTGGTCTTTGAGTGTGTACGTCACGCGTGCCTCTGCCGTTCGTGGTGTCCCCCTGCGCCCGCCCGCCAGCTCAGGCTGCTGGCAGCCGCCCGCCCGCCACCCTTGCCACCGTGGTTTGCCACGGCCGCCCACCGCGCTCTGGCCCAGCGCGCCTGGCTGCTGCTGCCCCCCCCCGGCTGCTCATCGTCGAACTCTTCGACGTCTGAGCGTCCCTTCTTCCTCTGGGCCGTCACCCCCCCCTCTTTGCCCGCCGGCCAATGCGCTAGCTAGTGCTCTTTTCTAGCTTCTCGCTGGAGCGGAGTTCGCCGCCTCGCCGCTGGCACGGGCCAAGTGAATCGCCCCCCCAAGCATTGCGCATGGAGCAGCAGCGGTGTAGCGCGCGTCACAAAAACAATATGGCAAGGTCATCCGTGCTCGTTGGGCGACTGCGTGCGTTCTGCGGGCCTCTTTGGGGGGGAGCTTGGCTTCGATTGTTTTGTCCAGCGCCACCGAGGGTGGGCGACTGTTGTTGCGGGCGGGCACGACCAGTGCCCCGGGGCCCCCGCGCGGCCTCGGCGGGGACTTTTTGGGGGTTCCGCGGGGCGCGTTTCCGACGGGCGCCCCGGGGCGAACCTTCAGGATCTCGGTCGGTTTTGCCTTGCAACAACGGCGATATTGTCGGTCCCGCCCTCCAGCGACGGCGTTCTTACAACAACGCCCACCGACCCGTCGAGATCTCAGCTTCTACCTCGTCGAGGGCGAAATTCTGCCGTCAGGAGGGAAAACCCGACGCGCGCGTTGCCGCAGGGCCCGGTCCGCAGGCCCCGGCGGCCCTGCGGGGATCGGTGCGCAGTGTGTCCCAGAGGGCTCCGAGAACCCCCTCCAAGGCCGTTCGTAGGTCTCCAAGAGAGCTTAACGGTGGCGCAAGATCTTTCCGGAGAGCCCAAATAGGGCCCCATTATACCCCTTCAGAAGAGCCCCGAGGGGGCCCCCAGAAACCCGGGGAGGACCCCAGACACACGCGACGCGAGTGTTCGGGTGGATAACGACTTGCGCATTGTGTAGTTCAAACTGCTCAGGCACGCGGCAGGCAGCTTTTCACAAGCGAGTCCGAGGTATTTTTTTCGGCCAACCACCTCGCCCAGAACCCCACCTTTCTTCCCTCCCGGCACGGTGACGCCGCGCCGATTCCACCACGCCCTTTGTGCAGATCGTGCCTCATCGTGAAGATCCTGCGTGTTTGTATATAGCGGCAGTGCACGGCATACTATAAGTTTTGCAGGACTATCCATCGCGCGCCACTGTGCAGCAGATAGTGACACACTTCATTGTGACATATCATACTATAGCACACCAGCGCGCTCAATTGTTCAGCCGATTATAAGGTCTGGCAACGAATTACAACGTAGCAGAAAATACCCAAACCCAACATAGCATAGCATATCGTAGCAAAGTACAACACAGTTCGCGGTGTCATAGAACACCATGCCACTTGGAGTACAACGCATACATTTGTTTATCCAGCGCTTCAGTGTCTGAAGGGATGTAATGAATTTGGGCATTTGGAAATATTTGTCATTCATTGTTTTTCGTTTTGAATTTCAGTAAGTGGGGAGACCCTGGACGCGCTCCGGAATCTTGCTCCATAACCGCGCTAGATACCCCCGAGAACCAGGACATCCCAATGCGCAAATACAATAACTTCAGCAAGACAGTGGAATCCTGGACATCCCGGAAGGTTTAGAAGGCATTGGCATTCCAGCAGTTCTTGAGAACAGCGGCCCGGCCGTGGCTCGCCCTGCATAGTGGTTGAACGTGTGGTGGGGTACGTCTGATGTCCCTGTTGGAGAAACTCCCTGCATCCTCCCCCCCTTTCCCCAGGGGAGCCCAAGTCGAGACAACGGCGGCTCTGCCGCCTGGCCCAAGTCTGAGCAACCTCGTACCCCTAGCAGAGTCTGTCCTGATTCGTTCTCTGTGCCTCCCGGATGGGGTCAGGGTAGACGAGGTCGGAGGATCGCGCCGCATCGCCGATGCATCGGCAACGCGGCTCGATGTGGAGCCCAGTTTTCTTCACACGAACGTCACCGATGAATCGCCAACGTCGCCGATGCATCTTCGATGCATCTTCGATGCGTTGGCAAGGCGGCGCGATCCTTCGCCCCATCTACTCGGACCCCATTTGGGAGTCCTCTATGTTGTCTGAAGCGGATCCAGCCTCCAGGGGGCTCCAGAGAGGACGAACAAACGCCGAGATGGCCGCCGTGTTCTCGGCTGGCCTCCTTCCGACAGTGGCAAGGCTCCCCCTACGAGTCTTTCCCTTGGCTTCGACTTTTGGCTCCTCGCCGCCGCAGCAGCCGATGGCTGGTGTCAGGAAGTTCTCAGAGGCTGCCAGAATGGTTTGTTGAGCTCCTCTTCGAGGGGCACTCCTGCCCTTGTGGCGGCAGGTACGCCCAGAGGAACAAGCACAACAGCTCCTCGCTTCGGCGGTCGCCAGCCTGAACCGTATCCCGATCTCTCTATATGGTCCTCCGGCTTCTGAGGGCGCATCCCTGAGATTGTCATCGCTTCAGGCCCGTCAATCTTGGGAACAGGGATGGTCAGGGGCAATGCTAGGGGGGGATAGGCTCGCTCAGGGGGGATGCACCGGCCCCCAATCTGCACCGATTGCCAGCAAGGGCCCGATGGCCCACCCCACCCAGGAACTCGCGGCTTTTTGGCATCGGGGATCCGGCGCCGACCTGTCTGCGACGTGCCGCCGACGGCAGGTCGGTGTGCCGCCCCCCCCCCAGCTCGGGCGCCAGTCCTCCCTGGCGTCCACCGCCATCCTTACAGTTGAGGCCCATACTCAGAGGGCAACAACATATGTACATGTACGCGGTTTGTTTCCGCCGAATTGCGTTTGAACGCGGAGGTTCGTGCACGCAATACCGCGGAGGGCGTACATGTACACATGTCGTTGCTCGCTCACATACCAAGAAACACACCGTGCTTGCTTCCAGGGTGCCCTGGGGTTCTTGGGGTTTCGATGGTTCTGCGACGGAAGGCGTGACGCTTCCAGGCCGGAAGACGATGGGCGCCCTTGGGTCGGGAGCCTCGGGGCGGGGGTCGATGCGAACGGGGGTCAGCCGGGGCACCAGATCCTGCAGGATCCTGCGAAGCCCCCCTCTGGCTGACCCGGGTCAGCGAGCCGCCCGTGGCCTCGAGGCGGCCGCGCACATTGGCTGACCCGGGTTTGCGAAGACCTGCGTCGCAGTTTTTTTTCCCCCCTGCATTGCAGTTTTTGGTTTCCCGCTGACCCGGGTCTGGATCGACCCGGGCCAGAAGATCCCCGATGGGGTACTTCTGGAGTGGGGCTTCTCGTGGGAGGCTTCCTGCGGTCGGGCCCCTGTGGTGGATCTTGAGTCGGGGGAGCCCGTCCGTGGCCCTTGGCTCGCCGTGCGCTGAGCCAGGAGCTCCGCGCGGGCCCTCCGGACTGCTGCTGCCTGCACATGCGGCCGGGATGCCGAGAGGAGCGGCACTTCGGGTTCGGAGTCTGCACGGGCGAGATGGGCAGGGAAAGATCGGGGGAGCGTAAGACCCGGGTTTGCCGGGACTCGGGTTCGCAATCGTTTTTAGACGACCGCGACTCGGATTTTGACGAGGAGGAGTTTTGTGGGATGTTTGCAGCGGGAGGCCTCGTCAAAATGCAGGCTCGGCCTCGTCATTTTTTTGACGACCTCGTCGGGGATTTCCGAGTCCCCCGTACCCGGGTCTTACGTCTCCCCGAAAAGAACGGGCACAATGCCCAACAGCGGATCCTGTTCATTTTGAACAGGGCTCGCTGTCCACGCCGCCGCGGCCTGTGTCCATTGCGGCCGCTGATGGTTTGGGACAACCTTTGCTGTTGGGCATTGTACCCATTCTTTCCGTACCCATTTCGGGCGTCCAAACGGAAGGGGATCGCGGTCCCGCAGGCATGACGGTTTCTCTTCAGCGCCTCTAGTGCGCCTACGCGCTCGCTGGGGCCGAAGGATGGGCATGGTTCCTTGTCTAGCGTCCCTCCTGGTGGCAGCTTGGCTGAAGTTTTAATCCTTCACGATCGATTCGCGTGGTGTCGACGCGGTGGCGACCCCGCCGCGGGCGTTCAAGGTTGAACGCCGCCGGTGGCCCTGAATCGGTCGATCTAGAACGATCTGCACGATCGAAGGGCCGCGATCTTTCAATGTTGAACGATCCACGCAGAGTCAGAAACCAACGCGCAAGTCGTCACGACACGAACCTGCCGTATTCCCCTCCTTAGATGTTTGTTTTGGGGACTTTCTTGGGCGGTGCCCACCTGACGGATCTGTTCGACTCTGTTTCGACTCTAATTCGATTCCAGCTTGGATCAAGTTCGACGCGAGGTCAATTCAAGTTCGAGTCAAGTCGATGAACGTTCGACGAGGCATCGACGCGTAGGTAGAGCAAGTGGCTCCAGGAAGGTCTCCAGAAAAAAAAACATCTAATGTATCATATTGTGCCAGTCGCCCAGCCGTTTGAGTGTCTCGGTGGGTTGTTGACGCTTAGTGCGGCCCGCTTCAGCCGCTCGTTGCGGTCGACATCACTCGGTGGCTTCAAGAAAAAGAATGTGTGTGTGGTTCCTCCTCCGCCGTTTCCGCAGTCTCGCTTGTGCCGATCGTCCTGTCGCGCAGTCTGTGGCATAACAGGGTTCCAAAAGATGGTCGCCTTCTACCGGTGCAGCTCTCGAAAGACCCCCCGGCCTGCGAGCCGCAGCTCCTGACCCAGAGCGGGATGAGGATGAGCATGAGGATGATGAGGAGGAGGAGGGGGGGGGAGGAGGAGGAGGAGGAGGAGGGAGGAGGAGGAGGAGGAGAGGAGGAGGAGAGGAGGAGGAGGAGGAGGAGGAGGAGGAGGAGGAGGAGGAGGAGGAGGAGGAGGAGGAGAGGAGGAGGAGGAGAGGAGGAGGAGGAGGAGGAGGAGGAGGAGGAGGAGGAGGAGGAGGAGGGGTGAACGCACCTCTGCCGGCCGTGCCTGGCCGCCGCTCGTCCGACCGAGCATCCCCCCCCCCCCACAGCGGCCAGGCCCTGGCCCCCGGAAGCCCGCCCCGCGGGCCTCGCGGCCGCCCAGGAGCTCCGGAAGTCCACGGCCATCGTCACGCACACCGGCAAGGCACCCCTTCACACTGGGCGCCGCGTCCCGCTCGGCCCTTCTCCCCGCAGCCCAGCTCGGAGAGCAGGTGCATTCGGGGCTCAAGGGGCAGGGGTCCATGCAGGCGGGGGTCAGTCATAGGGGGCGGCATGCGAACCCTGCCCCTGCCCCCCACGACTTCCGAGCGGGAGGGTGGGGTTCACTTCGCTCGGGAGCTCCCGAACGAAGTGAACCCCACCCTCCCCCTCAGAAATCTTGAGGGATAGGAATAGGGTTCGCATGTGGCCCCCTAAGTCAGATCGTCGGATCTTGCAGGACCCTGCAGGGCCAGGGGTGCACTGACCCGGGCTTGGGTGCAGGATCCTGCGGGATCATGCAGGATCCTGCAAGGCTTGACTAATCCCCGTTTCGGATTGACCCGGGTCACTCGCTGTCGTTTCAGACATTGCTGGGTCGAAAAGCCGCGCAAGTGTGTCCTGATTTGCGTGAAGTCCAGCTTTCCTGTCGGGCCTCGCCACGCCCCTCTTTCCATGCGACAACATGAATTTTTGTTACGGGCCATTGCCAACTATTTCGGCCTTGGGAAACCCTTGTCGTGCCCCTGGACCATTTAACATGGATCTGGGACGGAAAATTGCGCCCAGAGAAGGGCTCGGGAACTCTCTATGGCCGCGCTTTGAAAGATCCAATCGCCAGATGCCTGGGTCTCCCCGCTCGGAGAGCACAGCGGTATCCATCAGGTGTGCTGAGTTTTTTTCTGACGTTCTCGCCAGTTCTCGGAGGTTCGCCAGCCTCAAAGTGCTCTCCAGCAGCTGCGCCTCGCCGAGAGACGTCCAGGGGTGCCTGGATCGTCCCGAACGGCCGCCGGAGACCCGAGTTATGACACCCAAACCGACGACGAGGATCACAAGGGGCGATTGGCCCATGGGGGGATGCATCCACCACCAATCGCCCATTCATCGCCGATATGGGTCCGATAGCCCATCCCTCCAGGATCGTGGGGTTTTGCGCTCGAGAGCCCGTCCCTTATCTATCTATCTGCGATGTATCGCCGATTCCAGGTCAATGTTTCCCCCCTGAGCCAGTCCCACCCCTTCTCGTTGCCCCTCGTGCGGGCAATGTGCCGCGTGTGCCAGGGGCCCTCTCCTCTGCCGTGGAGCTAACGGGTCCTGATGGAACCGCGCCCTCAGGTTCCTCCTTGTTTCTGGGCTCCCGGGGCCCGTCCCCAGGGAGACCGTTGACGAACAGCTCAGGGCGAAGAAGTTGTCCCTGGGGGAATGCCCCATGGGATGCAGGACCCGCTTCCCTCAGGACGAGCCTCCTTCATGCTAGTCGAGCCAAGGGGGCCCCGTGGGCCCTCTCCTCCTGCCCGGACCTCCGACGGCACGATGGTTGTCATCAACCCTGCCGGCTCTCCTCACCCTGGCCTCCGGTGGCCGTCTTCGGGACCCGCGTCAAGATCGGCACTGCCACCGTGTCACCGTTAGCGCAGCGGTCGTCGCCGCGCCATGTTAAAACAGGGCTAGGATCGGGATAAATCGATCCAGAGCGTTCCGGAGCGCTCTCAGAGCGTTCCGGAACGCTCTGGAGCGGCCGCGGCGCCCAATACATCCTCCAAACCCGCCGATTCTCAGAGATTTCGAGTTATCCCGATCCGATTTTGTCCCGATCATCGCGTCGTTTTACATGTGTCAGTCTCCTGGGGGATGGCTGCTGATGCAGGAAATTTCTGCCTCTCTCCCTCTCTCTCTCTCCCTACCTCTCCTTCCCTCTCCCTCTCAGCCTCCCCCCCCTTTCTCCCTCTCGCTCTCTTTCTCTATCTTTCCCTCTGTCTTCTGTCTCTCTCGCTCCCTTTCTACATACCTCGTCTTGCTCATGAACAGTTCTTGTGCTAGCACTTACAACCTGTGATGCAACAGCACTCCACTGCTGCCTGTGACGATGCCCCGCAGAACAACATGGACTACATCGACCACGCCGTCATGCTAGGACGTGCGCTGAAGGCGCTGTGCAGTGTCGTTATACCTTGCCGTTCTCCTCACCATGTTTGTTGCTTGTGTTATTGTTGTACCTCTATCTCTCGTTCTTGTTTTTTATATGTGCACATGCACATATGTACAAGTGCATTTATACAGATATAGATATCCCTCTCCATGCATATATGTGTAACAAATATTTACACATGTCGATACACATGAAGATGACAGAGTGAGCGGGCCGAACGGTCATTCAGTGTCCCTGGATGCGTGGTTGAAGTGTGGATCCGTGGTGAGGATTCTGCTTGTTGCGTTGTTACTGTTGTTGTTGTTGTTGTTGTTGTTGTTGTTGCTGTTGTTGTTGTTGTTGTTGTTGAATTCTCATTTCTGAAGAATAATTATTGTTGATCCCCCCCACCGGTGCATACTGCTTTTTCTCAATCAAAGTGTGCCCCTCGACGCTTGCACCCTGTTTTTTGACAGGGAAAGTCTTGATGCTCAAACTGGGCCCCTAGCCCCCGGGTTACAACAACAACGGTTCCCGACTGAGATTTCCTTACAATTTATCCAGGACCCCTGCTCCCGCCCGAGACTTCCTCGCATTTTATTCAGGAATCGCGCTCTCGCTTGGGATTTCCTTATACTATTATTCAGGAATCGCTCTCCCGGCGCTCTGGAGTCGCGCTCTCGCTGGAGACTTGCGTGCAACTTACTGAAGAATGGCCTTGCGTTGGAATTTCTTGCAATTTGCCCAAGCGCCGCGCTCCCGACACCCAGGCACCCAGGAGTCGCGCCCGTTGTGGCCCCATGTGCATACCCTTTGTGGCCCCGCTGTCGCCATTTGTGTCCCCCTCACTGTCCTACGTGGCCCAGTTGCTACCCTCAGTGGCCCCATAGTTGCCTTGTGTGGCCCCGCATTATCTGCACTTCGTGGCCCCCGCTTGTTCGCGCTCTTCGTGGCCCCATACGCATTCCCTTCGTGTCCCCGCTGTCGCCCTTCGTGGCCTACTTCGTGCCCGTGGCCCTGCTGTCGTTCTCTCTCGCTCTCGCTTTCGCTCGTCGTCGCAGTCGTCGTCGCCGTCGTCTTCGACGTCGTCGTCCTCGTCGTCGTCGTCGTCGTCGTCGTCGTCGTGGTCGGTCCCCTTTCCGTCCCTCTTGGGGTCGGGTCGACGGTCCGCGGCCGTCCCGCCGATCAGCGCTGCCGCTAGCCAGGCCGACGGTCCGCGGCCGCCCCGCCGCTTGCCGGGGCCCAGCCTGCAGGGAAGAAAGGTATACCCCCCAAAAGGGGTTCGATCGAAGACGAAGAGGGCGGGTATCGAGGGTTCGGGAAATACGCGTTATTGGACGCTCGAGCATCTAAGGGCGAACAGTCTTAAAATTATCATTGTTATTATTATTATTATTGTTGTTGTTGTTGTGGTTGTGGTTGTGGTTGTGGTTGTTGTTGTTGTTGTCTTTGTTGTTGTTGCTGCTGCTGCTGCTGCTGATGTTGTTGTTGTTGTTGGTGGCGTTGGTGTTGGTGTTGTTGTTGTTGTTGTTGTTGTTGTTGTTGTTGTTGTTGTTGTTGGTGTTGGTGTTGGTGTTGGTGTTGGTGTTGGTGTTGTTGTTGTTGTTGTTGTTGTTGTTGTTGTTGTTTTTGTTGTTGTTGGTGTTGTTGTTCGCTGTTGTTCGCTGTTGTTGTTGTTGCTGCTGCTGCTGTTGTTCGTCGTCGTCGTCGTTGCTGCTGGTGCTGTTGTTGTTGTCGTTGTTTGTTGTCGTCGTCACATCCGCGACCCACCCGCGACCCACCCCGCGACCCACCCCGCGACCCACCCCGCGACCCACCCCGCGACCCACCCCGCGACCCACCCCGCGACCCACCCGAGACCCACCCCGCGACCCACCCGCGACCCACCAGCGACCCACCCGCGACCCACCCGGCGACCCACTCGCGATCCACCCGCGACCGACCCCGCGACCTATCCGTGACACACCCGCGACCCACCCCGCAACCCACTTGCGACCCACCCGCGACCGACCCCGCGACCCAACAGCGACCCACCAGCGACCACGGTGCGACCCAACAGCGACCTACCCGCGACCCACCCGCGACCCACCAGCGACCAAGTTGCGACCCACCTGCGACCCACCCGCGACCTACTCACACTGGTTTAACGAAAAATCGGCGCCTGCGGCGGGCTTGTTGTATAATTTGTGAAACTTCGGCGCCTGCAGCGGGCTTCTCCAGAGTCTCGCAAACTGCCGACGTCCCCCCCGCCCCCTCACTCTTATCAGCATCTGCGGGGTGGTACGTATTATTCACGCTTCGCGTATCCCCATCAGCCCATTCAGAAACGCTGCCCATGAGAGCTGACGCGAAATCAAAGGAAGAGACACATATAGTGAACCAAAGCGGGCAACTAGGGTGAACTGAGGATGCGGAGGAGGAGGGGCAGGCGGAGGAAGAGGAGAATCTGGACGACGACGAGAGGACGAGGAGGAGGCGGAATAGGAGAAGAAGGAAGAGGAAGAGGACATGGACGAGGAGGACCACGAGGGCAAGGACGAGGAGGTGGGCGAAGACTAGGACGAGGATGAGGACAAAGAAAATAATTTTGACGAAACGAATGACGAGGATGAGGAGGAGGACGAGGAGGAGGAGAGGAGGAGGAGGACGAGGACGAGGAGGGTGAGGACGAGGAGGGTGAGGACGAGGACTCTGGCAGCCTTCTTGGGGTTTCGTGAGGCCTCCTTGGTGTCCACTTAGGGCTCTCTCGGGGCCCTCTTGGGGTTCTCTTGGGATTCTCTTGGGGCTCTTTCGGAGTGAGTTGGGGTTCTCTTTGGGGCTGTTTTGGGGGGTCTTGGGGCCCTCTTGGGGCCCTCTTGACGGCCTCTTGGGAGCCTTTTGCCTCCTGGGGCCATCCAGGAGGCCTTCGATCGAACGGTGTGGGATCCTAGATCTGGGCCCCTCCTCAAGAGCACGCAAGACAGGCTGTTTGGGCGCTCTTGGGGCCGTCTTGGGGTTCTCTTGAGCTGGGAGGCTCTATCTCGTATTTTTTGGTGCATTCTGGGTGTATTTCTGTTCTCCTTTTCGTTCTCCTCCCCCGGTCCGGTCTGGTCGGTTTTCCTGGGAGTCTCCGGCGAAAACCTTGGGACCGTGTTCGAATGCACGAGGTGTGCCTCCCTCTCTATTGCTCCCTCCTCCCTCGTCTTCGTCCCCCTACCGCCAGCGCTCTTCAGCGCCTCTTCTGTGACAGCCTCCAGTGTCCTTACAGTGGAGGCCAATGCCAAGAAACACCCTGCTTGTGCCCTGGGTTTCTTGGGTTTCGATGGTTTTGCTGTGGAAGGCGTGACGTTCCCACACCAAAAGTCAATGGACGTCCTGGGGTCTCAGAGTTGGATTTCTTGTGGAAGGTCCCTTGTTGACTGGCCTCCGCTGTACGGTAGGTTCGCATCGTGTCGATTGGCGGTGACACCGCCGCCATGGTTCAACGTTGAACGCCGCTGGCGACCCAGAATCGGTCGATGTTGAACGATCTGACGTTTCGGATTTGGCCGATCGTTCAAGGTGGAATGATCCCCGCGCTATCAGAAACCAGCGCCGAAGTCGGCACGACACGAACCTTTCGTAACCTGATCATTTTGCATGGACGTCGCATTTTGACCGCCCATCCTTGACGTGGCAGTTGCTGGTTGGGCTCGGAGGCCGCCTCGAACCATCTCCGGCTGTCTCGAGCCGCCTTGGAGGCCATCTTGTACCATCCCATCGGAGGCCCTCTTGGATCCATGGCGGGCGAAAACAGACCCCCTGCCACCTCGCGGAAGCTCCCCAAAAACCTCAGGGATGGGGAGGGGGAGGGCACCCGTCCTCGGTAAGAGGGCTTTTGGGAGAGGAACTAACTCGTCCTCCCATCCCTCCGCATCTGTCTCTCCCTCCCAGTCCACCTTTTCTCCCTCCTCCCTCCCTGCAGCACGTGCGGGCTAGATTTGTTTCTGCTCAGTATGTGAACCGTCCAAGCTGTCGTTCGACTCAGACTCCCAGGTTGAAGCGATTTTGTCTCAAACGCCTCCTGCACTCTGCTCAGGATGAGTAGGCGCATCCTGCCACAGTGTGGTTTGGGCGATCTTGTTTTGAGCCGTCACAACTGGCTAGCCACGCATGGCCTTGAGCTGCACAGAGAAACAAAGTCAAGGGGGGGGGGCTACGAGAACTGCTAGCGCATTTCGGCCCTGCTGCCCAGCGCTTTCCCCGACGCGTGGTCGCGCCCAGAGCCTCAGGGCGTCTGGATAGCTGCTCAGATACCCGCAGCTGGTCCGCTAGCACCCCGTCTGCTAATCCCGCCTTTGAGGTATGCCTCCTTTCTCCTTTCCTCGCTGGTTCTCTCGTTTCGCCGCCTCTCGCTCTGGCCCCCCTTCGCCGTCGTCGCCGTCGTCGTCGCCGTCGTCGTCGTCGTTGTGGTCGTCGTCGTCGTCTTCGTCGTCTTCGTCGTCGCCGTCGTCGTCTTTGTCGTTGCCACCGTCGGTCTCTGACGCAGCTATGTAGTTTAGATGCTGCTCTCACGTTGCCCGTTTCCAGGCGACCCAGACGGCCACCAATGGCGGCAGCGACGGCGGAGGCGGCGGTGGCGGCGGCAGCGACGAGGCACGACGACGGGACGCCCGTGGTGGGCGCGAGCACGACGACGGCGACGTGGTCGGCGGAGAGCGACGGAGGTTGGAGGCGGCCGGGGAGTCTGAGCTGGATGTCGGCGGCGAGCGAGGGGGTGAAGGGAGAAGGGGGAAGCCTTCTCAGAAGGTGGCAACGCTTCTCAGAAGCCCTCGCGCCTTCGGAGGATCTTTTCCCTATCTTCGGGGAGGGCTTGGAAAACGTGTCAGAACGCCGGAGGACCTCCGAGCTTTCCCAGAAGGCCCGCCCCCTCGCACTTCCCCCCGGGGCTGGCCGCTGGTTGGAGGCGTCCGGGGGGCTTGAGCTGGATGGGCCCTGAGAAGGTTGGTCGGAAGGGGGGGGCGAGGCCAAGTCCGCTCAAAATCAGATCCTGCACCCCAGACGGTTTTTGATCGTCCCAGGGCCCAACACTCTAGGCCTCCCAGATGGGGTCCAAGTAGATGGGGTCGGAGGCTCGCGTCGCATCGCCGATGCATCGGCGATGCGGCTCGATGCGGGGCCCGATGTTCTTCGCGCCGGCGTCGCCGATGAAGCGACGACGTCGACGATGCATCGCCGGTGCATCGCCGATGCATCGCCGATGCATTGCCGATGCATCGCCGATGTATCGGCGATACGGTGCGATCCACCGACCCCATCTACTCCGACCCCATCTAGGAGGCCTCTAAACACGGTCCCCGAAGGCGGATAAGGCGCTCAAAACATGTCCAACCCAGAAGCTCGAAGTTGCCTCCTCTCCTGCTCGCCGGAACCAGTGTTGGGCGACCTCGGTCGGGCGGGTGATCATGGGGAGGTGACTTCAATGGGGGGTGCAGACAAAGGGCCCTGCAGGCGGCCCTGGAGGGCCTCTTTCGGAACCCGCGGGGGCCCAAAAAGGGGCCCTCGAGGGCCCCGTTGGGGCCCTTCTCTGCAGCCCCCCTTCTGGAGGGCCCCTCTTGGGAGCCGGCGGGGGCCCCAAAGGGGCCCTCGAGGGCCCCTTTGGGGTCCTTCTTGTGCACCCCCCCTCGAGGCCCCCCCCCGTGACCGCCCGCCCGACGGAGGTGGCCCAGCCGGCCCCGAGGGGGGAGGCGGCCCGGCCTGCGCCGCGCACGCCGCGCCTCCCAGAAGTTCGTTCCGGAGTACCCGCTGGTGGCCATAGCGGTCGAGGGCGCCCCCGCCGTGCGGCGCCCGGGGAGAGAGGGCGGAGCCCAGGGCCGACCTCGGAGGAGGCGGAGGAGGAGGAGGAGGAGGAGGAGGAGGAGGAGGAGGAGGAGGAGGAGGAGGAGAGGTGCCCGTGCAGCTCCCCTCCCCTCCAGGCAGGGGCGAAGCGTCCCGGCTCGCCTGTAGCCCCACCAAACAATGTTCTAAGAACCTTTTGGTGGTTCCCACGGGATGTTTTCGGAAAATTTCTGGCTGGGATTGTCTTGTTTTAACTTCGGGCTTATGTTCTAAGAACACTGTGTTTGTTCTTAGAGCATTTTTGGGTTCTAAGAACCTTTCGTGGTATGACTATAGGAATGCCGGGACGGTCGGTCCCTGCTCAACCCCTCGGCTTCGCCAGTTTGGGCCTCCTGGGAAGCCCTCGTCGCCGCCCGCTGGATGCGCCTCGAAGTCCTGGTCAGAACGCACCCCCCAGGGAGGTCTGGGAAGCAACCGGCGGCATCGGTACCTTCTGGTTTCCCAGTGCTCACCACCCACCAAACCACCCCAACCCAACCCGAAGGCTCAGATTTACCCTCGATTTCTAGTGGGGGGGGGGTTCGGGAAACATAGAAAAAACACGCGTGGAACCCTTACCCCCCCCAACCCGAAATTCGGGTCTTCGGGTTGGGTTAGGGTGGTCTGGTAGGTAGTCAAGTTCTAGCGCCAGGGGCAACGACAGGGGGGTGATCGGCCCAGGGGGGGGCTGCCTCGACCCGCAATCGCTCCTGCATCGCTGGGGTAGCGGCCCCACAGGCCCCGCCCAGGAGCGGGCGGATTCGCCACCGGGGGCTTATCGCCGATGTGTCGGAGATACATCGCCGATTCCAGGTCCACGTTTCTCAGGAGGGGAAAAGACACGCAGACACAATTAATCGTCGACTCCCAGGAAAATATAGGAAAATATGGGGATTGGGGGGAAGACAAAAACCTAGAAAGTATGGGAAAATATGAGGAATATTTTTATTTGTGTGTATTTATTTGTGTGTCCTGGAGCCCCCATGTGCCAGTCCCACACGGGGGTCAGCCAATCTCCTCGTGCTGATCCCGCGCGTGAGCGCCCTCGCTTCCGCTGCGGCGTGCCGCGCTGGCGGCCCGGCTTGAGCCGCGGCGTAGTTGTAAGTCGGGCCTGTCCCTCTACAGGGCGAATATTCAAAAATAGTCAAAACATGGTATGGGGACGATTTTTGCTTCAAACAATGTTGGAATATTTTGGGGGATCTTTCTTGGGTACTCCCAACTCTTCGTCCAAGATCCGCCTGCAGGGGGGACGTGCCCGACCTAAGCGTACAGTCAAAAACCCTAATAAGGACGCGCGACTTTGCTCAGGATACCCTTGCGTCCTTGCTCTTCCTTGCTCTTGCGTCCTTGAGGTTTTCGTCGTCCGCCGCCCCAAAAATCCCCACTTCGGCTTCCAAGGGTCTTGCGTCCTTACCGCGCGTCCTTATTAGGGTTTTTGACTACATCAGGTTGCTGCGTCATCTCGCGCAAGATCCGTCCCTGATCGTCGCTCGCGTGGGGCCCGAGTCCCCTTTTTCCGCCCTCCGTCGGCCCGGGCCGGGGAGCTGCTATACGCGGCCGGCCGAGTCTGGTGACGTGGCCCCGGCCAGTCCCGGCTCTGTGCTGGCCCGGGCTGCTCGGGCCGAACGAATGGGGGGGATCGGGAAAGGGGGAGGTACGAAATTTGCTGCATGCAGCTGGTTTCGGCCCCACTGAGGGGCCCATTCCTCGATACATGGCCGCCTGCGGCGCCGGGGGGCGCCGGGAAAATCAGCTACGTGAGCTGATTCTCCCCCCCCCCCCCTTTGCTATCCCCCCCTTTCGCCCGGCCCGAGAGGGGCGTCCCCGACGAGGGGCGCAGGTGGGCAGGTGCGGCGGCCCGGACCTCCCCCCATGCACGCAGAGGCTCGGACAGGTCGAGGCGGACGTTCTTCGCTGTTCGTGCGGCCTCTGGAGGCAGAGCTCTCGGGCAGGCACACCCTCCAGGCCTCCCGGGCGGGGTCGGAGGATCGCGTCGCATCGCCGAGGCATCGGCGACGCGGCTCGGTGCAGAGCCCAACTTTCTCGACGCAGACGTCGCTGCTGCGTCGCCGATGCATGGGCCGATGCATCGGCGATGCATCGGCGATGCGGCGCGTTCCTCCGACACCAGTTGCTCGGACCCCGTGGGGGAGGCCTCCATGCACGGGCTTTGGTGGGGAAGGGCGCAACTCCTGCTTCACCCGTGGGGCAGCACAAACGTGCGCAAGCAAGCTGCGCTGCTTGTCGAGATGGAAACATTTAGCAACATGGTAGGCATCGAGGGAGAGCAAACACACAAACGCACGCACACGCACACGCACACGCACACGCACACGCACACACACATTCACACACACACACACATTCACACACACACACATTCACACACACATTCACACACATTCACACAAACATTCACACACACACATTCACACACGCACACACATTCACACACATTCATACACACATTCACACACATTCACACACACACATTCACACAGACACACAGACACACAGACACACATTCACACACATTCACACACATTCACACAGACACACAGATACACAGACACACAGACACACAGACACACAGACACACACAGACACACAGACACACAGACACACAGACATACAGACACACAGACACACAGACACACGTGCCCATGGCACGTCCCCTGGCACGTCGCTTGGCGCGTCCCTTGGGACGTTCCGCGGCGCGTCCTCCTGGCATGTCCCCTCTGTCGATTAGTTCTGGGGCAGCTACCATCTGCTCAGGCAGCTCGAGCTTAAGATCGGACTCGGATGCCAGGGAGGACTCGATCCACAACGCTATATAGAGCACAATCGCGGCATGGCACATCGCAGTTCAGCACGGCTTAGCACAGCACAGCCCTCGGCACAGTACATCAAGATCGGTACATTCAGCATTGCATTTGCCCGTCGCCCAGTCAGATGTCTTTGAAACGTTGCCTTGCTTTACATTCCTATATTCCTTTCCGGGTTCGTGGGTCGATCATGTTTTTGTGGGGCGTGCCCCGTTCTGTGCTTGTGCCGTGCTGCCGCGGTTGGTGGGGCCTCTGTGGGGTCGGACTCGTGCAGGATTGGCGATTCAATCGCGATGGTCCGATTCTGACGGGGGCACGCGCCAGCGGGGACGACGAGCCACTCATGCAGAGTGCCCGCCGTTGCTCCTCTTGGCTTCTCTTGTTCCTGGAGGGGGCGTGGGCCCAAGGTGTTGTGTTAGTTTTGTTTTCCCCGGGTGCCATGCTTGAAGGGGGACGGCGAATTTATCCGCGATTAAATAGGAGGTGAAGTCCCATTCTGCGTGGAAAACATGCGTTTCGCGCGTGCCCTCTCGAGGAAAATGCGCCCCCAATGTCGGATCCTCGTTGCCTGATGGGGTCCGCAGACCTCCGCTTTCCCGTGTAAAAAAATAGGATGCGGAGCGTTTGACGCTTGGTTTCTCTCGTCCAGGTTGCCCAGGCAGATGTCTAGCATGAGGATGTGTTGAGGATGTCTCGAGCGAAACGCTTGTTTTCACGTGTCCAAGTCGCCCAGGCGGATGTCTAGTATGAGGATGTGTTGAGGATGTGTCGAGCGAGACGCCTGGTTTCACGTGCAGGTCGCCCAGGCAGATTTCTAACATGAAGAGGTGTTGAGAATGTCTCGAGCGAGACGCTTGCTTTCATGTGTCCAGGTCGCCCAGGCGGATGTTTAGCATAAAGATGTGTTGAGAATGTCTCGAGCGAAACGCTTGTTTTCACGTGCCAAGTTCACCCAGGCCGACGTCTAACATGAAGATGTGTTGAGGATGTCCCGAGCGAACCACTTGTTTTCACGTGTCCAGTTCGCCGAGGCGGATGTCTAGCATGAGGATATGTTGAGGATGTGTTTAGCGAAACGCTTGTTTTCACGTGTCCAGGCTGCCCAGGCGGATGTCTAGCATGAGGATTTGGGCAGGATGTCTCGAGCGAAACGCTTGCCCCCAGTACGTTCCGTAACGCGTCCCCTTGGCACGTCCCGCGGTGCGTCCCCATGGCACGTCCCTTGGCACGTCGCCTGGCGCGTCCCTTGGGACGTTCCGCGGCGCGTCCTCCTGGCATGCCCCCCCTGTCAATGAGCTCCGGGGCAGCTACTATGTGCTCAGGCAGCTCGAGCTGAAGATCCAGATCCGTTTGGTCAGGACTCGGATGCAAAGGAGGACTCGATGCACAGCGCTATAGAGCACAATCGCGGCATGGCACATCGCAATTCAGCACGGCGCAGCACAGCATATCTCTCGACACGGTTCATCAATACCGATACATTCAGCATTGCATTTGCCCGTCGCCCAATCTGGTGTTTTTGAAACGTTGCCATGCTCTACATTTCTGTATATTCTGTTCCGGTTCGTGGGTCGGTCATGTTTCTTGTTGGTGCGTCTTTTTCATCTCCCTTGCGTGCGCGGCTCGGCCCGCGGTTGGATTTTTGACTTGGTTAACGGATAGCGCGTGCGAGCGCCGCGATGAACAAATTCTTCCTCCTGCTCCTGCTCCTCCTCGCCGTCCTCTCACTGAACCCCCCGCCCCCCCCCCGCCCCACTTCTCCCGCGCCCTCTTCCGCGTCGTCCTCCCTTTGCTCCTCCATCGTCGTCCTCGCCCCCCTGTTCTTGCTACCGCTCCTTTTTCCTTATCTTTTTTTTCTCCTCCTCTCCTTCCCTCTCCGCCTCCACCTCCTCCTCCTCCTCCTCCTCCTCCTCCTCCTCCTCTTATCCGTAATGGCTTCGTCCCCATGCCGCTAGCCCCCCATTTTTAGAATTGGACTTGCCAGAGCTGTGTTAAGATGTCTGGACGCTGGCGCGAAGCAATGTCGAGACTTCACGCGAGGGCCAGTTTTAATTTACGAGGATTTATGGCTTCGGTGGCGTGAATATTTGGTAATGTACGATGGTTTATGGTTTCGGGGGCGCGACGATTGAGTCATTTACATAGTTATCTGGCCCTGGGGACGCAACGATTGCGTAATTTCCGAGGGTGTATGGTGTCGGGGACGCGACTATTGTAATTTGCTAGGGTTTGTCGCCTCGGGGACGCAAGTATGATGTAATTTACAAGGGCGTATGGCCTCGGGGACGCGACTATTGCTTAAGTTTCGAAGGCTTATTGTTTCGGGGATGAATTTTTAAAAAGGGCTTATATTTTCGGGGGCGCTAGCATTTTATAGTTTACAAGGGTTTATGGATTCGGGGATGCGATTAGTGTATTATTAACAAGGGAGTATGGCTTCGGGGACGCGAGTATTGAGTAATTTGCAAGGGTTTGTGGCCTCGTGGACGCAAGTATGGCGTAGTTTACAAGGGTTTATGGCCTTGGGGACGCACACATGGTGTAATTTATGATGGTTGATGGCTTCGGGGACGCGACCACTGTAGTTTACAAAGGTTTATTGCCTCGGGAACGCAACGATTGCGTAAGTTACAAGGCTTTATGGTTCCGGGAGCGCAAATTTTAATCATTTTGAAGGTGTATGGCCTAGGGGACGCGAATATACTTTAATTTGCCAGGGTGTGGCCTCGGGGACGCAAGTATGGTGTCATTTACAAGGGTTTATGGCCCTGGGGACGCGAACGTTAGTTAATGTTTAGGGGTCTATGGCTTCGTGAGCGCGAGTATTCCGCAATTTACCAGGATGTATTTATTATTTCGGGGATGCGAATATTGTATACTTTACATACATTTGTGGCCTCGGGGACGCGAATCTTTTGTAGTTTGAAGGGAATGATGGCCTCGGGGACGCGAATATTGTATACATAACCAAGGTTATGTCCTCGGGGACGCTAGTAGGCATTATGGCTTCGGGGACGCGAGTATCAGGTACTTTTACGTGTCTCACGACCCCCCGGGAATTCAGACAACGCGATTCGGGGACGCTAACCAGCACGCTTTTCGGCTCCCCTCCAGCGCGCGTTCAGCAACAATCCGCAGGAAGGAAACAAAAATCAAGACCGTTACAGTGGAAACTGGGAACAGCAACAGCCACAGGGAGCCGCAAGCCTAATCTTCGCAGCCTGATGGCCCCGCAAGGGGGCCGGCGGATTCCTCCTCCTTCTCCTCTTTTTCCTCCTCCTCATCCTTTTCCTGCGTCTTCGTCCTCCTTCCTCCTCATGTTCCTCCTCTTCCGCCTCCTCTTTCTCCCCCTCCTCCCCCCGTCGCTTGGAATTTCCTCGCCGTTTACGACCCGGATGTTCAATCATTGACAATCGCTTCACATATGGAGGGTGGGTGGTTTTCAAAACGTGGCTCTCGCCCGAGCGCCGCGCTCATTTTGCTCAGAAAAGTGCAGCAATTTCACGGATTGAGGGCGGGCGGTCTTCGCAACGTGGCTCTCGCCTTAGCGCCGCGCGCGCGTTCGTTCCAATATTTGCATGAGCTTGGCGGATTCAGGGCCGGTCGCGTTCAACATGCGTCTCTCGCCTACGCCCCCTGCGCATACAGATTAGCAGGAGTTTTGCGGATTGAGGGCGGCTCGTTTTCAAAATGCGGCTCTCGCCTTAGCGCCGCACTCCCTCGTCTTCCTTGTCGTCATCGCCCTTGCCCTTCCATCTTGCTTCCGCTCCCCCCGTGCCTTCCTTTGCCTCATCATCCCTTTCCTCTGTCATCGTCATCGTCGTCCTTCCCATCCTCCTCCTCCTCCTCCTCCTCCTCCTCCCCCTCCTCCTTCTCCTCATCCCAAACCTCATCTTCCTACTCCTCTTCTTCTTTTTCCTCCTCCTCCTGGTTCGGGATTGTTTAACGAAGTGTTTTGGACCCGACCCCCCCGATCCCCACGGCGTATGGCCCCACTGTTTCCAGCAGCCCCACTATCCAGCGGGACGAACGGCAGCCAAGGCAGAGAGGGAAAGGCAAAGGATGGGGTGAGGTTCAACCGTACGTAGTTTCATTGGTCCCCAGTCGTGGTCCCCCTAGAGGTCGCGTGTCAGCTTGGGTGTGCTCGCAGGGGCGGTGCGGCGTCCGTCGTGAGCCAGGGGCCGCACTAGACAGTAAGGCGTTCATAAGCTTCGCCCCCCAGAGTTCTCCCTGCGTTCCGCCATTTCGCAGTAGCTGAGCAGGTTCGAAGCAGCAGCAGACAGCAAAACTCCAACGGGCCTGATACTGATCCTGATCCTCCACCTCCTCCTCCTCTTCCTCCTCCTCCTCCTTCCCGCCACTCCGAGCGGTGGGCGCAGGCATGTTCGAGGCGCCGCGGCTGATCGTCGAATTCGTCGCCGCCGCCGCCGCCTGGGGCCGCCGCCGCCGCCGCCGTGGCCGTCTCATTCGACGTCGTCGCCGCAGTCGCCGCCGCCGCCGCAGTCGCCGCCGCCGCCGCCGCCGTCGTCGGCGTTGTCGTCGTCGTCGTCGTCGTCGTCGTCGTCGTCGTCGTCGTCGTCGTCGTCGTCGTCGTCTGCGTCGTCGTCGTCGTCGTCGCCGTCGTCGCCGCCGCTGCCGCCGTGCGTGCGTGTCCGAGGAGGTCCAAGGCATCAAGCATCGAGCCATGGTTTTGGTGGGAGAAGCAATTGGGGCGATCAAGAAGCCGCGCTCCGAGCCCATTCGGGTTCCACCTACTTTGGGGTAGCAGCAGAAGGGTTCGGTTCCTCACGGCCAACGTCACCAGTCAACCTGGGTTCGAATTTGTTCGTGCGTCGGAAGTATGGAGCTCATATGACGTCACCTGTACGCTGGGGGCTAAGGTAGCACAGTCTCAGCAGGAGTCATTGGAGCAGAACGTAATGGAAAGTGGATGGAACGCTTCGGTCGCACCGTCGCTGCAGCCTGCAAGTCGAGCGAAGATGAGCAGGGTGTTGCAGATCTTAGCGTCGGAGTCATGATCCTAGCACTAAGCCGGAATGGGCTCAGCGAAGTCCATAATGCTCCGAGGGTTGTTTGTGATGGGCGCGCGAGCTTGCTTCAGTTCGCGCATGGCGTCAAAGGAGGCACGATGGTTGGCGCAATGCATCTGCGCGACACGGAAGATTTGACTGGATCCACATAAGAGATGTTGTGTACCATGGGTGGGCACATCAAAAGCGTTGGGTTCCCCTTTGTCCTGAGCGCTGAGTGGCAGGTCACGCCTCAGGAATCGAAGGGGTCGTGCTGGGTCGACGGCATCGGAAGAGAGATGTTGCGCCGAAGCGTGACATCGTCAGGCCTTTGGAGAGGATCATCGGTTCCTGTGTGGTCAGTAAGTTTTTGGGGGCAAATGCGTAGATCACCGTCATCGAGGACGTCCTTTGCGCAGAGCAGCATCGCCTGCTCAAGGTCCTTGCACAGCGGCAGGCTGAGCAGGCTGTTCAGGCCAGCCAGCGCGCCGAAGAGAGAAGTCGGGAGGACTGGGTGGACAAGCGCATTGATGTGCAAGGGGCCTCTGCTCTTGTTAGTTTCGCGACGTGTCCGATGGTTGGGCCCCGGGCGAGGTCGCTGTGGGTTAGGTGCCCATGGGTACTGCAGAGCAGATTGAGCAGCTGCAGAAGAAACACTCGCCTTCGGTATGGCCCGATTTGTCTGCCGTGGAAGTGCCTCCCGAACCGTCTGCGGCGCAGTTGCCAAAGGTCTCGGGGAACCTTCGAGTCCAGCGTGGGCCAAGGATATGATTGTTTGCGCCCGAGGCACTTTTTGCCTCTAGGCCCAGAGCGGCTCGAGGTGGTTAGTGGGCTTGTGTGCCAGATCTAGCTGGGGCGCGAGTGGCTCGCGACGTGGACCAACGTTTTCTTCCTGGCCAAACGTTTCGGGATCTTTAGGCCGATTGCTCTACTGCATATGCTGGCTCGCATCTGGCGCCGAGTGCGTGGCGGTGAGATCGCGCGCTGGCAAGGCACAGTGTTTCGCGGTTTTTCCCCGGGCACGCGTGGCGCGGCAGCGGACACATATTCGTGGGCGCGGGCGGCGTGGGCCGAGTGGGCGCACGGGCAAGGCCTCAGCTCGGTCACCATCTTGATCGATTTGAAAAAATGCCTTTGAGCTCGTGCGCCACCACCGTCTCATCGCTGCTGCAGAAGCCGCAGGTTTTTTTCTCTGCGTTTGCTGCATCTGCTGGCGACGATGTACAGGCGCCCACGCATCCCCCAGGGTCTTGTCTGCGTTGAGCGTGCTCCGTGGTTGTGCGTTTGCTACCGCGATGCTGCACTTCATCCTCTACCGGCCACTGGGCGAGGTTCGAAGCATTGAGCCGTCGGTCCCGCTGTCCACCGTCGTAGATGACATCGGCGTCCAGCGTTTTGGCGCTGGGCGTCGCAGGACGATAGTCCGCGTCGCCGAGGCCACAGTCGAACTGGCGTCGGTAATGGCAGTGACGTCACTGGCGCGAAAAATCAGGGACTGCGCCGACTTCGTCGGTTGGCAGCAAATCGGGGCCCTGTTG